TTTCTTTTCCCTCTTTTCCTTTTTCCCGTTTTCCCATGGGTGTGTGTGATTAATGGGATTCCGGATTTCTCCACCATCCATCCCTTCCTCCATCAGACCGGTGCACACGCGGAGGACACGGCAGAGCTGCGATTGCCCCGAGCCCTCGCGGAGCTCCGAGCGCGGAACGTGGAGCTCCGAGCGGGGTGGGGAGGGGAAGGGAAGGACGGAGGGGGAGCGCGCAGAGCTTTGGGATCTCTATGTGGGATCTCTGGGAGCTTTTGGGATCTCTGTGGGATTTCTCTGTGGGTTCTCTCTGTGTTGGATCCCTGGGATCTCTTTGGGATCTCTATTTGGGATCTCTCATTGGGATCTCTCATTGGGATCCGCCTTTGGGAGCTTTCTTTGGGATCTCTCTGTGGGATCTGTCTTTAAGAGCTTTCTCTGGGATCTCTTTGGGATCTCTCTTTGGGATCTCTCTGTTGGAGCTTTCTCTGGGATCTCTCTTTGGGATCTGTTTTTGGGATCTCTGGGATCTCTCTTTGGGATCTCTGGGAGATTTTGGGATCTGTCTGTTGGATCTTTCTCTGGGATCTCTCTTTGGGATCTCTCTGTTGGAGCTTTCTCTGGGATCTCTCGTTGGGATCTGTTTTTGGGATCTCTGGGATCTCTCTTTGGGATCTCCCTGTGGGATCTCTCATTGGGATCTCTCTTTGGGATTTCTCTGTAAGAGCTTTCTCTAGGATCTCTCTCGGATCTCTCACTGGGATCTCTCTTTGGGATCCATCTTTGGGATCTCTCTGTAAGAGCTTTCTCTGGGATCTCTTTGGGATCTCTCTTTGGGATCCATCTTTGGGGTCGAGCAGCAGTGGGATCGTTGTCCCCGTGCCCCCGGAGCACGCAGCAGCCCCGCACGCCACCCCCGTTACCCGCTGGGCGCGGATTTGGGGTCAGCCCTCAGCACAAGGGGAGCGCTGGGACCCCAATCCCAATCCCAATCCCAATCCCGACCCCACTCATCACTCAGAGCTTTCAACAGCCCCAGCTCCCCATCCCATAACCCCGCTTGGGTTTTTTGGGGGGCTCCAA